CCCCAAATAGCCCCCTTCAGCCTCAAAGCCTGGGGTTTGGGGGGACCGAAAGCTGAGTCTGAGTCTAGAGTCCGAATTTACTGGCTTCAATTTGTTAAAGGACACCCCCCCGCCCCCCCAAAAAATTAAAAATCGGCGGGAAGTCGGTAGAAGAGTGGTGAAGCTCTAGGGAACTAAAAAGCTAAACAAGAATTTTGAAGTGTCTGTTTACATTCAAAAATAAAGTATTTACATACACAACCACAGACATCTTAAAAACTGGAGCTTCAAAGCGTGGATAAGAACAAAGATAAACAGCGTACGGACTTCGTTTAAACAATAATAGAAACTTGGATTTCTTTCCTAATCTTTACCCAAATAAAAGTACACAAAATTGACTTTTCCAACATGGTACCCTGTCTCTTTAAGCCAACTTGAAGATTAGTTTGTTAAATGAGCTGATATCCATGTGCAAATTAAAGTTTAAAAGACACGATGTTCTATTTAAAGCTAGGACAAATTCATGAAAGTTGTAGGAGCTGGAGTTAGAAACAGCCCACCTCCACCTTTCTTTTCCTCTTCTCAAGAACAGCAATATTTCTTTGATTTGCACCATGGGTGTCCTATCACGTTGCCAAACAGATCATCTACCACCAGAGCACCTGGCTGTGCCCAGCACCGAGCCTTGTCTTGGCAGCTTTTGGTACGTAGGCAGCACGCACTTGTGTGCAAAGTCTAGAACATTCCTATGGCCATATGTCCTATTCCCCAAGGCATTAACATTCCCCATCACACAGCCTCAACAGGGACCAGCAGCAACAAGACAGCATTGCATGGACCACAGCAGGTCACCGTAGCTTATCCACAAAGCAAAAGGCTAAAGGCAAAACTCCTCTCTAGCCCTGGATCAGACCCTTGTGTGCACGCGCGCACACACACACCCCCCATCCCTCCTGCCATTAATTTCTGATTAGCTCATTGCTTTTTAGCAAGTCTCTGACCACACTGCAGAAATCTCGGTGTGTTCCACATTGATTTTGGTGGTTGGGCTGAACTTTGAGCCTCAGTTTGCAAAGCCAAATGATTCCACACAATCACACTGCTGTTGCCGGTTGAGGCAAGATCTTAAATGTGTCAGTTCCCACTTGTACTGTGGATTCTCTATTCACTAACCCACTGTCAGAGAAGTCATACCAACCGGAGTACTCATCTCCACTGTTCCATACTAATACAGGTCTGGTTCTGGATCTACATCAGATGGCTGTGCCAAGCTTTAAAAGTTAGGCTGGATAACTGCTTACTAACTTGGGAAATTGCTTCTCTCTCTACCACTTTAAAAAATAATAATATCTGTGCTCAGCAGAAACGCTGCTGAGTTGAGGTTTCAAAATACTAACTTCTTGTTTTTGCCAACTTTCCTTCAATAACAAGTGCAGTGGATTGTCACAGCTGGGCTACAACATGATTATAAAGGCACAGGAATAACGATGTGTACTCTTGTTTATACCATATTCTTACAGAGTTAAAAATGAGATATTTTAAATGAAGGGAAGGGCAGAGACAGAAATTGCATGTCTTAATCCCTTTTTGCCATTAAAAAAATCGTTCCATCAAAAAAATGCAGCTTTCCTTGTAACAGAAATAACTGTCGTTTATCTCTATCTAATTCAGCT